TTCTGTTTTGATTTTTGGCTCTTGTTCTCCTGCTTTTTCCTTCCATTCCAACAGCCAGACATTAGTCTTATATAGGAAGAAGCCTGGTTAGTTTTGGTAACATATAACTGTGTTGTCAATAATTCAAAGCACATTTGTCTTCAGTTGTTTTCCTTTCTTTTCATGTTCAATTTATTCTTCATTCAACAGTCCTGAAGTTTAATTTTGTGGAAATACAGGGAATAATAGTTTGATGATACAGCTTACCTTTGTCTAGATGGAGAATGTTACCTAAAAATACTTATACAACCTTAATAGTTTTGGATTGTTAACTTTACATATAAATTGGCTTTACATGCATACCTCAATCCTTCATTTAATTCTGTCACATCTATATACTAATTTATAAAGTTTAATTAAATTACAAGACTTTTCCTGTATTCACTATTTTTTTAGCATATGTTTGTACATCTGAATGTGACTAAATCTCTGTGAATTAAATTGAATATAGACAAGAAAAAAGGTACTGTTAAAAATAAATTTAAATAAAAGTTTAGTTCAGTTGCTTCTATATTAATCTAGAATACTCAGATCAAATTCAGAGTGAAAAGGTGATATTCAAAGTTCAACATCAAGGGCAAAACTTCTCAACTGGGACTTTAAACAACTAGTAAAGTCAAGCACTTATAACCAAGAGAAACTGTCCAGAAGCCAAGAATACCATAAGACCTGTCACAAAAATGACAGATGGTCCCTGAGGACATCTCAAGGCAAAGTTAGCTACATGTAAGTGGTAAAATAGTGTAACTCAATCAATCATAAAGCAATCCCATTGTGTACTAGCAGTTTGACATGGTGTCTTATGGTTTTCATCTCCACTGAATATTACATGAACTGTTCCATTCAACAAATGATAATTCAGCTCTACTGCATTCCAAGCTGCTTGGCAAACACGTCTTGGAACACAATCTTTTCTAACATAACACACATAATGAGCCATGCCAAAAAAACGAAGAAAGAACATGCAACTTTAATGATAGAACTTTTACATTAAGTATCTTTATACACAAGTTCACCACATACTTCAACGACTGAAAAACTGTCAAAGTATATTTTTCAAAAATATTTTACATATATTGATCTCTCTAAATAAGGAAAGCTCAATGTGCAAGCATGCATTTCTATGTCAAGTAATGATTTAATTGAATTTGGTATAGCCTTCTCAACAAAGTTTTTATTTTACCAGTCTAAACAATGGATGAATACAAAAAAGAACTCTACCTTTTCATCTAACTAAACCATTACATGTAATGCATGTGATATATATATTACATTCACATGTATTTTAATTCCAACATTACTGATAAGATTTTATCTTTTTTTCATGAAGTTCTTAGTACCAAGTATCTCATAAAAGTGAAGTTGAAAGATTAGCACACCTTGAATGAGCAAAAACATTTATTATAATTCAAAGACAGTAATTTTTCCAAACTTTAATTAATTACTTAGCATATAATGTTATGCTATTACATAAAATTTTATTTGAAGCAGACAGCTATGTGACAAGAAAATATTTCCAGTACCACAACACACACATCACAGCTAAGACAAGGCAAACCCGACTTTCAGGAACAAAAAAAAGGCAATCAACAAAGTATCACAAAATGGCTGGTAGTGTTCTATTAATCTTCAAATTGCCAACTTGTTTTGTTTTGAATTTCGCACAAACTACACGAGGGCTATCTGCACCAACCGTCCCTAATTTAGCAGTGTAAGACTAGAGGGAAGGGAGCTAGTCATCATCACCCACCGTCAACTCTTGGACTACTCTTTTACCAACGAATAGTGGGATTGACCATAATATTATAATGCTCCCATGGCTGAAAGGGCGAGCATATTTGGTGGGACAGGGATTCGAACCCACGACCCGCAGATTGCGAGCCGAGTGCTCTAACCACCTGGCCATGACGGGCCTACTTGTTTTGTATCGCTCATTACCAGTGGGGGGATGTTTATGTTTATTTGGGAAATTTTTTGTTTATGCTTCTTATAACACTCAGTATAAAGAATTGATGAAAATAATATGTGCAACCACTAAATTTTTATGTAAAATTCATAGCAAACCTCACTAGTAATTAGTGGAATTAAGTGCAATACTGATAAAATTTGTATATTTGTTTTTGTGTGTGTGTGTGTGACTCGTATGTTGTAATAAACATTATATGTATAGTTTAGAAAAATGTGTTTTCAAAAAGCCAGCTGGGTCCATACAAATCCCATAACTAACTATACTAAATGATGTGAAAATGGCAATATTTATTTCAAGAGTAAATAAATAATGTGAAACTGGCAATATTTATTTCAGGAGTAAATAAATAATGATTTCATTTTATAAATTTGACGAAACAGAAACAACGTATCTTCATAAAAAATAACATCATTCTGGAAATTATACCATCAGTTATTAATATTCACATAACTGTCTAAATAATGTGACTAATAGCTACTTTAAAACATTTCACACTGTGCTACAAACTAATATGAACATGATTTTATTAACAGGTTAATATTCATGTATAGTCAGAGCAGTCAGTCTTAAAAACAAACAAAAACAGAAGTGAAAACAATTATTCAAGGAAATTTATCAATTTGTTATCACACATATCTAATTCCTTAACAACATTTAGATTATATTTAGAAACTTAATAAAGCTGTTTTAAGTGTAATTTTAACTGCTTTAAATCTCAATGAGTTATTTAATATTTTCACCTAAATTTCACTCATAATGTTTACATAGTGACACTTTTCTTTTAAACCAAATTCTTAACAAATGACATTCCAATTACAGAAATATACGTATATTACCATCATTACTTGCAGCACAATAATCAATACATTGCAAAACACATCATTTGACAATAGATATCATAAATTTTGAGGGTATAGGTACTGCAACAAACAGAAAAAATATACTTACAAACATAAAGCTTAGAAAAAACAAATAGTAACTTTTGTAACATAATATTTTTGCATTGGTAAAGATAATATAGTATCATTAGAATGAGATACATGAAGGTTAAATATTTGGTATTGCTGGTCTTTTTTGAGTTTTGTTATGAATGAATGGAATATCGGTGTGTTATTAGCAATGCTTGATAACCAAATACCTCAAGAAAATTCACAGGATTTTTAAGCATCAATTACTACTCTAGACCACAGCACTTTTGGAAATTAAAGTAGATACATTTACAAAAAAAGTTTAATTTTCTCAGCAATAGAAACTATAGTTAATACAACCTGTGACTAAGGTCGTATATATTAGAGAAATTAGATATTTCTAAGCAGATCTGTGAAAACACCAGATTTGGAGCTTGTATATCCAAATTGGCATTGAAAGAGACTTGATTATAAAAAATTCAAGAAATCAGCTTTTTAGTTCCGAGTAAATTTTGTGTACTTTTCTGGAAAACAATCATACTGAAGAAGAGATTACATTAGATTTTAATTTCTGTATAGGAATTAACAATATTTCAAATAGGTATGGTTAAGATTTGGTTTAAAATATATATATGGAGTTTTTCACATAATACATGTAAATGTCTGGAAAGACAGAAACATCAGAAAAAGAATAGAAATGTACACGTATTCCAAAACTTTATACTATGATTGTAAAATTTCAAATAATGCATTTATATTGTTAAAAAAGTACACAATGTCACTTTCATATTTTGTTTTATGAAAGGAATATACCATAAATATATTATTCAAGCTACATCACTTAGTTCATTATAACCTTATTTTTTTACTCCAATTTGATGAGGATTGCACTAAAATTTTAAGTTATTTAACCCCACCAACAGTTTGATGGTTTAATTCTGCGAGTTCATTTCAATGGTTATCACTAAATGACTAAAATATACTGTAAAGGTAGAGACTGAGGGAATTCTTTTAAAATTGCATCATTAAAACAAATGTTCATAAAAACAAATAAGGATGAAGTTTAATTTATTATCTATCAACATGCAAATGCAAATTATATTTCACTTCTGAATATGTATTTTCCCGATATATTCATGTTTCTCAGTTTATGAGAAATTATCATAAGGTTTTCTCTAGTTACATATAACATACAGAATGGAATATATTTTTTAACAGTGTATAAAACAGTTAAATGAAAAATATGACTTACGTTATAGTGTAAAATGGGACATATTAATGATTATAGGTACATGTTCCTATGAAATATAGTAATCGTTGCATTTTTATATCTCACTTTCCAAATACGCATAAAAACATGATGAGTTTATGTATACATAGATCTATATTGTTAAAAACTTTTACTGTCAAACATAAGTGCCATCAGCCTACATTCCTAGAAATTTAGTTGGCAATTGGCTTGATTTACTACACAAAAAATAGTGTGTACCTTTAATACGAGGTAGAAATGACACCATATGATTAAATGTTTAGATATTAAAGGTAACTTAGACTAACTTATTCTTGGATACTAAGGTAGCAATGAGACTAGGAATGATATACCAGGATCTTTATTCTCCGAACACTTCGACTGAAGAAGACTTGTAGTGAAAACACTGAGAGAGTAAAGATCCTGTTATAGCATTCTTAGTCTCATTGCTACCTTAGTATTCATTTGTCAATATGACTAATACTAACTTAATCTTCCAACATTCCATAGTGTCAAAGTGGATTGTTAATGATATGTTTAAATGTGTATGTGTAGGTTCTGCATCCCAAGTTAACAATTCATGTGTGTGATCAAATGTATTTTGCATAATCAACTTTTTACTTGATATTACTTGTAGTTGTGATAACTGTATATTTTTATTTTTCCTTCTTTAAGATTTGTCAGATTTATATTTCATCAAGTAGAGATATACAAAGTTATTCTGTCAATAACTGTTACTCGTGTCATAAATAATGATTCTTTAATAGTTTTTGTAAATTTTGTCTTTCAAATATATTAATGTATATATTATTGCTATATGTAATAACTTAAAAATATATTTTACAAAATCACAAGACTTTAACAAAATATTAAAACAGTAAATGGTAAACTCTTAAACAAAAAGTTTAATAAAAATCTGGAATTGTTTAAGGTATGGAAATGTTTCATTGAATATAGGTTTTACCATTTTATTTTTGTCATGAGGTTGCTTCATTCACTACATATTGCATTATTTATCTTTTTGGCTTGACTTAATATAAAATATTATGTGTGGGAATTGGAGCAAACAGGAATCTGACTCTAAAGGATAACAGTGGATACAACTAGAGTTGTAAGGGTTATTGCTTTAAATGTGAAAAAAGATGATGCTTTATGGTGACTTATCAATGGTGAAAGTGTGTCAACGTTACAAAGCTGGAACGTGGGATTGTTTTATGCTTTAACAGTGCATCTGGAAGAAGTGGGGAGAACATAACATAATATTTAGGGACAACAAAGGACCTACCTATTGGTTCATCTTGGCTGTCCCATCCTCTAAACTAAACTATAAAATAAATTAAAAAACAAATTGTAAGTCAAGCCATTATCATTCATATAGTTATCAAGCTTTTTCTTAAACTCGCTAAAATTTACTGCCTCCACAACATCCAAATGTAACCCATTCTAGAGGCCAACCACCTAGTTAGAAAATAAAACTGTCTTAGCTAAAGATGATTCCTACCTTATCAAAAGTTATATTTCTATCCCCTAGTTCTATTATTCTTCACATTAAGTATGAAATAAGATGATGCATCAACACTATCAATTCCTTCTACAATCTTAAACACCTTAATCAGATCCCTTATCACTCTTCTTTTTCCAAGGAAAAAAAAAACAATTTTAGAGATCTTAATCTCTCCTCATATGACAACCCCTCCATCCCAGGCACCATTCTAGTAACCATCCTCTAAACCCTTTCCAACAACTCAATATCCTTCACAGGATAAGGAGCGCACGACTGAACACAATACTCCAAATGTGGTCAAACCAGTGACTTATACAATGAAATTATAAATAAAAAAATATGGCTCACATATCCAGTCCTTAACCTTTGATGTACAAAGACATATTAGTGGCAAAAGAGAAAGTTTTACAAGAGAGAAATTTTACTACTTATGAGAGAGCAGTGCAAGTTTTTGCAGGGATGTAAAAACATTATAGTAACCAATAAACTTCAGATTTTGTATAAAGAGTTGTTGTTTTATTTAGATATCACATCAAAGCAAATTAATTATGTAGTATGTTGGGGTGAGTGGAATTAGTATGAGCAACCACAATCCAATGGAACTTGGAAATATCTCAAACTTTTGCTAGTTTTTTTAAGTTGAAAATTTCTGATATTAGATTGAGATAAGAAACTCATAGCTATCAAATAAAATTCATACACACAATAGTTTTCTTTTGAGTTTAACTATGCAAACTATAATAAAAAATATTTAGAGTGTAATAATTAAGAACTAATTCCATTCTTATAGTATCAGTTGATTGGGAATTAAGGATGTTGCTAGCAAACCAAAAGTTAATGTTATGTATATCACTCACAGTTGAGAATGTATAAGAGTAACATACTGAATACAGTTAACCCTAATGACATTTTCACACTTTATATTAAACAGATAAATCTTTTGTTTTTTGAAAACTAGTATTTTCATTAAAATAAAATAAACATCATTATAAAAGCAACTTACACATGAACAAATCTAAATTTTTGACTCAACACAGTTCATGTACTTTGTCAAATTTTATGATGTAACACACATATACATCCCACAGGACAGCAAAACAGATAAGTAATTATATTAGCATGAATTAGTGTGATTTTAAGGGTTCTGAAAAGCAACCCTGATTGAATTGATGCTTGCATAGGTTCCAGTCATAAAGCCAATCAAGCCAAACAAAGTAATCAGAGAATTCTTAATGATGATTAGAATCCACCTTATGGTACCTACAAGATATGGCAAAAAAAATAAAACAAAGAAAGAATGTCAATGAAAGTAAATGTCATGACTCAGAAAAAAATTCTCAGGTTAATACAAATTGCCAGAAACTATAGAGATATGTGCAAATGAAAAAATGCCTATTATGTTTATATTTCATGATTTAACATCATGAAAAAAAATCACATTGGAAAGAAAAAAATTCCTAATTTACACTGTTCTACATAATATAACTCTTTAAAAACATACATTTATTGGTATTTTAAGTCAATTTTTTAGGAAAAACACACTCAAGGCACCATTATTCCAACTTTCCAAAATTCTTAATAAATACATTATATTGCACTAATTTCTTACAAAGATATTTTGACATATTTAAAAATTAAAATGCATAAGCTAGGGTGAAACTTAATTTCTATATGTTTAATGAATCTGGTTTCAAGTTCAATATCTTATTATGTAACATGAATTCTATTTATATTTGTACTAAACAGACAAACTATAGCCAGCATACAGCATTGTATACAAGTTGTGATATACACACACATATGTTTCAGTGTGGGACTACACAACAATGGTGTACATTACCCTAATAAAATGATGACATATATAAATTGTTGAAGAATGATAAAACAATTCTGGTGGTTTCTCTAAAAAAATTACATATTAGAAATCAACATTTCTGGACTATGTCCATCAGTGTTTAATAAAATATGAGAATCAATTCAAACATACTTGAATTGAAATCATACAACAATTTTGATTTAACTGAACATATAAATTAAGATACATGTATTTGAGTCAAACCTAAGAGAAAAGTTTTATGTGCATGCTATGAATTTTACAATATAGTTTAATGCACATGACCAACAATATAGGCATAAAAGCTACATTATATTTAACTACACGGGTGAAGGTTACTAGAGGGTTATTTACATAATTCAGTTGGTACAGCCTCACCTAGAGTGCAGGTGGTTTAAAGTTTGACTTTGACGTAGGGAAATAAAAATAAACAAACTAGATTACTACAAGTAAAAAAATTTACATTTTTATATAAACCAGTGCATAAATGTATTATTTCTTGTTTCATTATGTTTATCAATACTGCTTTAACGTTAGCCTCATGGTACATAAAAGTAAAACTTTAGAGCAATGGAATAGGTTCACACAAAGACAGATTTGGTCAGGATATTATGGAATAATGCTAAATCTCTGAATAATAGTTAGAGAAATGAATGAAATAAAGAAACTGGACACAAAGTAAAATACAAAATGAACAATCTTGATTGTAATCACACTTTACAAGAACACAGTGTGTAGTGTACTTGCTTTTATGGAACAATGGACTGCTGTTTTTACTGGATCTTTTTTTTTGAATTTCTTGCTCTTCAAGATCATGTGTTCCAAATTGACTAAATCCAATGTTACTTACTTCTATGGAAATGTCATATTCACCCAGAGCAGCTAGTGCTACCCATGTGACTTGTCATTTTTATTTAACCCTTTACCTATTGGTAGGTCAAAGCATGCACGTCATGACCTTTTACAGAGTTACATTCAAAATTCTATTAAACTACTTTATTATCAATGTTTACCAATACATTTGGCATTAAAACATAGTTTGTGTATCAGATTTTAATACAAGTTTTAATTTCATATTTTGATAAGTACATACAGAAATAAACTTCCCATTCTAACATTTTCTGCTCACACCTCTAAGGTATTGTAACTTTCTGTGAAATTTTTCAATTATGCTATACATATCCCCAAGCTAAACTGTCAGCTTGTAGTGAGAAAGCTGTTTATTTTATGAGATATAAGCATTAAAGTAAAAGCGACATGCCATGCCTCCCACAGAGTATCCTGCTTTCAAAATTTGTCATAAATTCTCTCTGAAATTTGCTATTGTATTCCATCCATTCACATTACAATGACCAACACACTCTTTGACCTAGATCCATTTCTTCCCATTACAGTCTCATTGCCATAAGTATATGGACCGGTTTCTGTAGAAAAAAAATGGGTTGAGGATGCAAAACTTGTTCCTTCAGACTAGTTGATCCAAGTTAGCTGATGCCAACTCTTACTTTTGATCATTAGAATCCACCAATGTTTATATTATCTTTTTTTATGCACCTTCTTCCAGTTACAAGTTTAGTACTGCTTACAAAGTTTCACAACACAAGTGTTACTTTCCATCTTCCCTAACTACACTCACAGCCTATGTAGCATAAGAAAGGGAAATCACATGTAGCATATTACCAATTAGGGGAAGAGGATCTAATTGAAAATTACATCCTCTTTATGCAGGGTATATTCTTCATCCAATAAAGGTGATTAAGCAAAAGGTATTGTCAAAAGAACCTTCTACATGGTGCTAAAGTGCTGTATAAGTGGGCAGAATGTAAGGTTACTCAACTGTCCATTATACCTCAGGTGTTTGTCTGAGTGTGGGTGTGTAGTGTAGCTAGAGCAGCAAGTTGGGTTATACAATATGTGAGAAATACTTCTGTGAAATATTTATTAGATAAAAAGGTACAGGAAGAAGCATCCTTGACCTGCATCCCAAGGTGAACACAAGATCTATCCAGCTTGCTTAACCACCAGGAATGGGTTAGTTTGCAGTGTGGTAGGGTGGTCTTTACTACATTTTCAGGTAACACTCCAGATCTACTTCCACTCAAGGGGTGCATTAATTTGGTTTTATACCAGTGGGAATACACTGACCCAAAAAGAAACTCTCCACTTTGAATTCCACAGTGGCTTGATAATTGAAAATCAAAGGTTTTTCTTTTATTTCAACAGAAGAAAATGGTATGGAAGAATCTGCATGGGAGAAAATACCAGAATCATGCTTGGGTCAAACAGGAATCATCAAATCTGCATAAGGTCCCACTATGATAGACTGTGCAATGAGTTACTGTAACAAAAAACAACAGGCACTAGTCAGGTGTGAGGGTAGGATCACACCTAGTGCTGTCCCTGTTTGTTATTAATTTTTTAATTAAGATGTGGAAAGGAAAATATGGATATACTGCCAATACAGACTTATGGAAAGCTCCAATTCAACAACCAGCACTGGGCAGGATCAGACCAGTTGAACACTGTCTGTTATTTCCTAGTCACAATAGATTTTGGGAGATAGAAATTCCCTGTGAGACAATACTGGCCATGTGGTGGGTTACATCATCTCAATAATATAGGTATATAGAATGAATAAGGTTGTGAGACCAACATAAAAGATAAAAATTAATAACTCAATTTCTAAAAGCCTCTTTGAAAAGTGGTGAACGGCAGCTGAAGTGAGACATATGTTGGAGGTAGCTGAAACCACAACCTGGAGTAAGTAATATCACACAAAGGTGTCAGGATTCATCCACATTCCCACCTGCAAACTATCATCCAAGGTATGTTAACAGTCAGAGGCAAGAGAAGAAATGAGATGATGCACGTTTTGGGAGAAGAAATGAAAAAGGTATTCTACCCTGGAGTCGTCTGTCTGAATGGATCATGATAAAATGACTGTACAGATGAGACAGAAAATGATGGGAAGCTAAATGAGTAGCCATCTTTTCAAAGACATGCATACTGAGAGATCAGCATTTCTTAAACCATTCATGTACAAAGGGGTACTGTAAACTTCTTTCCCACTTACATTCATGTAGTCCACCTTTACTGATGTTGATTGGATAAAAACTGAATAACTCCACCATGGAACATCATTTTACCAGTTGTACAGGCAAAACTGGCTGAAAAGCTCTGCAATATGTCTATTTTAAGGTTGCTGATGCCAGAATTGAGTGACAACTAGCTTTGTTCACATCTAGTTTATCTCTATTAACCAGAATAAAGTAAATGTTGAGTGGCTCAAGGGGTCATTTCACTCAGAACTTCTAATATACCACAAAATCTACTAGTTTTCTTGCCACATCTGTATCAACCAGTAACTCTATCTTACCCTTATACTCCAATATGTTGTTGTATGTTGCGCTCTCCCAGGTTGTGGCCAGGACCAACTTAAGTTCCTTTAGTTTCTCTGAGCTGTAACAACAGGATTCACTGCATATTGTTGGTTCTGCTTCACATGCTGCAAAACAGATGCTTTGCTCTTCCGTTCCAGGATGATGTCCTGGCAGAAATATCAGTGGTATGGGAGGATTGGAATAGCTCTACCAATTCAATGTATACCATTATGATTGAATCACAATTCAGATGGTTACTTAACCATCTTAATGGTTACTTAAGATGGTTACTTAAGACATATGGATGGTTACTTAACCCTTGGCTGGACCTCATTCTGGTGTGATGTGGCTGTCTGGGTAGAATGGTCTGAAGTGAAATCACTGCAGCTGCTGCTACAAGCTTCATCATCTCTTGCAACTGGTTTTAAATTACCAATTCATATCACATCATAACAGAAACTGCCTCAGTACATGTGAAAAGATCCCTCACACTCAGGTGAAACTGTACCACCTCACTGGGTAACCCTTACACAAAACTCTCAACAAAAATATTGTCATGATCTGCTAAAGCCATTGCAAAGTAAGCCCTACTAGGTAAATGGTACAGATCATTTGCAAAAGTGGTCAAGGTTTCCATGGTTCTCTTCTTCCAAGCACTGAACTCAGTACAACGGATTGTCTTCCACCAAGCAGAACCTCTGGCACAACTTGGTAATGACTATCTAACATCCCACAATTGATCACGATCATCACCTTAGTGGCTCAATGCAGTTTAGGGTTGGAACATATAAACTCAAAACCACAGGCACTGTACAGCTTGTATTGGAGTGCATCAGTTTCAAGCACTAAAATGCTTAAAAAACTATCTAAATCATTCTTTGCTGTACCCTTGAATATCAGTGGAGTGATCTGCTTCACCCCTCTCTTTCATAACTTCCCAGTTATCACCTGATTTAGATATCCTTGACATCTCAAGCACAAGTGAGATAGGTGCTCTTAAGGATACCAGCATTCTGATGAATGTTCTATGGTGGCAGAATGACAAGGTGAACCTAGCAGCTCTTCCATCAGACTTGCACAACCCTAGGCTCCTCTGTGATCCATGGTTTGTTTTTGTATTATGCCTCCTAGCTCACCACTGCACCATAATTCACTATCTCATGTGTTGGTGAAATAGAACCTTTTAACAAACGTTGTTCCCCAAAGGCACCTCTAGTCTTAATGTGATGTTCTCATGTAACTTCAACCAGAGCTGAGGTTGGTATAATCTGGCTAGCATAAGACTGGGAGTCCTATACTGACCATCTCATTCAGTCTCAGAATCACCAGATGCCACACCACCACTCTAATACTCATGGGAAGAGAATGTACAGACATTTTGGATAAATCAACAGCTGGTCTTCCTGAGTCATCAGTTGTAAAGAGATAGATGTCATGAACCTTCATAGAATTGGCAAAAGTCCGACATCCAAGAAAGGATTCTCCAAGATATGACAACTCTCTCAGACAATCACCTCCCTCTGCCTCTTGGTCACAAGCCCTTCCAGTCATGTAAAATGCATTTGTCACTACGAAGCCTTTTAATGCACAAGAGTCTAAGTACAGACTAAAACAAAATTCTGAGGAAACAGCAAACTCCACAACACAATATCCTGTTGCCACATCACCAAAATATTCTCCTTCCTGTGGTTATTCAGTTAAAACAAAATTATCTTTAGAGAAATGATAGATCTAAAGAATAACAGATTCAATCAGGATATTTACCATGGAATAATGCAAAAAATCTCTAAAAAACTGAGTTGTGAGAATGAATGAAATAGACTTGACACAAAGTGAAACAGACAATGAACAACCATTATTGTAATCACACTTAAGATAAATACAATGTATATATATATATATTTGCTTTTATGGAACAGCAGAGTGTCACTTTATGGATCCTCTATTTAAACTAATTCATGATCATGCTCCAGGTTGACTAAACCTGATGTTCCTTACTTTGCAGCAGGAAATAAGGTACTTAACCTGAGCAACTAGTGCTAATCATGTGACTGGCTATTCTCGCTCAAACAAAGAATGAAATTAACTTAAGAGCATTCTTGATCATGCATTATTTGAAACCTGTATATATACAAAATAAAGAATAAATACTATTATACAAAAAGATATAAACAAATGATATATTCATATACCACAGCTTATTGTCTATTAATTTCATACCTTGTAACTTCAAATCATGAATCTTTTATGTTTTATTTCTTTGAATATTTTAAGTTATGGGGATAAACTACATGCACTTAAAAGTAAAATTAGAAAGTGTATTAATTGAACTAATTAGCATAAAAACCAGAATTGTTAGCCAATCAAGATTATAAACAAGGTTTATCAATGATAAGGAAGCAGTTTGTCATAAGAATTCAAATATTACCAAAAAAAACAACACAGGTCTCACATTGAATACATCATCACTTCTCAAAGCAAGAAGTATTGATCAAACACAGTTGAAATATAAGGTGCTGCTTTTATATTCTTACCAAAGCTAACAATAATTTAATAATCTACAATTAACAGACTTCCTTAAAAGTATCTGAAAGAAGCTCATTACATAAGAGAATCCTAAACACTTAGTTATGGCAAATTTTGAAATCACATAGTTTTTGATTTGGTATAGTCTCAATTACATAAAAAAAAAACAGTTATGGATGACAAATTAAAAATTTAGAGAGTTGATTTTATATGGTCTTGATTTAAAAACGAAAATAGTCTTATAAAGACATCATCATTTCTCTCGTATCAGCAACATATACTAATAAAATAGTTGAGAATAATTCATATATCTATTACTTTTTAACAACTCTCCCCAATATGTATAATTCTGTTAGTCAGGCATATCTGTAAGAAGAAAATGTCTGTTTTCTTTGTAATTGTCACAGATGTAAAAATTAAAATTACCTCTTTAAAATTAAGAGAAAATGTAACATAACAAAGTATGTAAATTAAATATAAGTAACAGAAAGTAAAATACATCACATAAATTCCAAAACACAAAACAAATGAAAAAAGAAGAGATTAAAAAAACGAAACAGACTTTCTTATGTGTAAAAGGCTAATGACAAAAGCTGATGAGGGTATGATTATTGCCATTGAGAAAAATCATGTACATATACTAACACTTGAAGGAAAGCTAAAAATATGAACAGAGAATTAAATCTGCAATGACAAGAACTAATTAAATGTGGCTAATTGTTATCTTAAATTTCATCAATTCATTCTAAAACTATATTGAATCTGACATTATGGCAAAATATTATTTAAAAGAACTTTTTAACAAGTTTTCAGGTATAACTATAAATGCACTTTCTTTATGATATATTGCACTTGTAAACCTGTCATTGCAGGCTGACTGACAATGTCACATTGGTATATATATATAATGTTTGTATGTGTATACCTCTTTCTATATATATACAATCACACACACACATAATGAGTGAAAATTAAATATTTTTATCACTCATATAGCTTTTCTTTCAATCCTTAAAAACTCATTGAGATTTACTCTTGAGGCATTTCACAAACAGTTTTGTTGCAACTGCAAAACTAAACAACTCTCATAGCTTGGTTTAACAATAAATTATAAACAGCACAAATGAAAATATAGTTCCATAACTCTTACTTAACAGATGAAAATGTGAGTGAATAAAAGAGCACAATTAGTGTAAAGTAGTTAAATCAACGAAGGTTATAAAAATTTATGTAGTAATATTGAAAATTCCTGAATTAAAAAAAAAAGACATATCAGACACATAAGAAACTTACCATCTGTAAAGTAGAAAAATTAAAACAAACACTGTAATTTATAATAACTTGTTTGAGAGAATTGAAAGATTAAGTGAGATGCTACTAATAGGTTCAACTGCAATGAATAAAATATATACATACTCATAGATGAATCCATGTATACTATAATCTCTAACATTGGTGGAATAACTAGTGCTAAACTGCTGCTGGCAAGGGCTCCAACCAGGGAAATAAAAAGATCTAGTTTGGGGATTGCTGCTGCCAAGCCAACTATTTTTAGAATAATAAATGTTTTTTATTATATTTTCATAAAACTGAAAAAAAAATTAAACCATTTTCAAATATATATATTTTAATTTTCTAATGTCCAGTGCTTTAACTTTTATATTATTTGAGCATAATTCTTACAACATTCCATATGTTATACTCACATCCAGATAATCTATTTGATTACACAGGTAAATAACAAAAATAACCATAATCTGTTTATACCAAATGAAACCAAATATTTGAAGTTCAATATATTTTCGTATAATTTCAAAGTTTATACTGAATGGCTAATAAAAATTGAACTCAATTGTTTATGTTGTTGATGTCTTCAACAATTATAAAAAATGAGGTCATAAACAAGTAAAAAAAATTTGATTACAAAAAAAGACAAAAAAAAATTAATAATATAAGTAAGATTTAACTTATGCTTCAAAGATTACCATTCTAACTAACTATTTTAATTTTTATGATACATTCACAGTTAAGAAAATAAGTGAATTGATCAACAAGCTTTTCTGTTGTATTTCTATGAAAAGAAAAGTGATTTTACAATATCACAAGACTGTCTATATTTCTTAGAAGAGTTTTGTTAAAGACTACAAGATATCTTGTATTTTCAAGCTTCTTTATAAAACAAGCAGAAAGTACACCAATGTAATGAGAAAGAACACAAGTAAAACAATAGTAGGAATGGTAGTTCAAGTTCTATATTTTTTGTAAAGCTGTTCTTTCATTGGGAAGGTTCTATTAAATTACTTGATGAAAATAATTCGAAGTCCAGTACATGTGATGATAACAAATTAGCTTATTTCTTCCTTAACATTTATACAAGCTGCCTTCACTTGTAAACTGTTGTAACATGTACTTTGCAAGTTTACAAATTACATTTCAAAGAGAAAGATCATTATACCTGATCCTTGCTCTTTTGCAAAGCTTCTTCATTATTACATCATAATGACAGAGTTGATGAAGTAGTATGGAGAAATGTGGTAAAAAGAAGAGAATGAATCTCTCCAAAAAAACCCTTCAAGAGCTTGATGAAGAGCCTGAGAAATATAATGAAATGACGAGAGGTAACACAGGAGGATGGTAAGAAAGAGACAAAGATGTGAAAATTGGGCACTAGAAAGGGAAGTAGAAGTTAAGGGGTTCAACCCCAGGCAGATAAGAGAGATTCCAGTGAATGGAAATCAAGGAATAGAAATGATGAATGGCTGTAAGCCAAGATAAAAAAGTCAAGTAAATGAGAAGCACAAGAGATGTTAGTACGAGGTGCAGTTGTTTGAGAAACAAGTCTCCATGGATCCTAATATCTTGAATATGGGTTTGGTGTGGTAAAGCAAAGGAGGAATTGAAAGACACATGGGAAAGAGAAAAAAAAGTACATACCTACAAATTCATATCAAGGAAGGTATTAGAATGATGAGGATTTTCCTCCACAGATGAAGCTGTGCCTAGAACATTTTCTGGTGGGGGAAATAACTGGTCAAACTCATCATCCTGGTCATGTTCAAACTGGAGTAGAAGTATCATCAACCAATTGGACAGGAGGAGAAACCCATTGTATATGACAGAGCTCACAGCTCACTGAAAAATGGCTCCAAAGACAATGAGCCTTCAGTAGCTACATGTCCCATGTTAGTATCATCATCATTACAAGATGAAGTTGAAGTTACTGACACTTGAGAATTCATAATGGTAGGTACCAAAGTAATGCTTCATTACCCGTTCAAGCCGTCCCCAAGGATTATTAGTCTCAAAGTGGGTTCCTCGTCATCGAATAAGTACCAAAGTATTTTTTTTTCTAAGTGAAATTAAAGAAACCATACTGGTTGTGTGAAACACAAACACTAAACCAGTTAAAGTTGAACAAAAACTGACTATAGTTAAGTATTGAAAATCTGATATAATTGATTAAAAATTTAAAAACAAGTCCATTTTGGATAATGCTGAGGAAAGACTGAATTTAATTTAACTTCAAGTTATTAAATAGAGCTACTGCACAAGGTGGTTGTGTCACCCTTCTATTGGTGGAGGGTTATCATCACACGATGATCACATCATGCACTGTCCCAATTCACATTAAACACTTTTTTTTAGGTGGGAGGTAGTTTGAGGCTAATGGGATGCAAATCTCACAGGCAGATGCACACTGGTATCAAGTTATTCTGTGTGCAGAAGTGAGGTACTGCCTTGGAAATTTAAGGTGTGTAACACTTTATGATTTATGATAAGTTGTCAGAAACTTTGAACTAATTTCATAGTCCTGAGTTTCCTCTTGAAAGGTGAAATTCAATTAATTATACACATTTTCATTACTGTAATAGTACTGTTGTTGGAAGATGCTAATTAGTCTGTTTTCAGTTACACAAATTACATTTCTGTACTGGACTTTGGAATTGTGAAAATTTGAAAAATATCTGTTTATAAAGAATATCTCCACAACATGTATAGCTTAACAGTTTATCCTGAATAAATATGGTTATAACTAGAAATATACTTTTCACATTTCTATATATTATGAACTCTTTTTGTCAAAAAACTTCAGTAGATTGTATGTGAATAAAATGTTATATACAGTGTCATCTAGTCCAGGATATGTTCCCATAATACAGTCATTCTACTTCTTTAGAAGTGCTATATCAATGCATTACACAAGAATAAGCCCAAGAATGAAAGTATAGTAAACATATTTATTATGATATAATGGAGTCATAATAAACACACAAAAGTAAAGATAAGATATATTCTGTTCGTGTGAGACATGTCTATACTGTTCCTGAGAGCTTGGTGCAAAGGAATTTTATTAAATTTCTTAAATTGTTTATAAGTTAACAGTTTAATGGCTGCACCTATGATTAATCATGTAATACATTTTTCCTCAAATTTTAAAGAAAAGTAACTAATTATATTGGTTTTAACCCTATATAGTTGTATAAACTACCAAATTTATCAAAAAAATAAATCAATTCTGATTTATTTCTATGAAAAACAAATAAATAAATATACATACTTTTTAAGCACTACTTTACTAAAACAAAGCTTTTAATTAATTGATGCCACTTGAAGATGACAAAGTACACAAATTTGAATGTTTGGCAAATTTACAGCTAAAGGATGAAACTTATATAAGCACACACATAAGAAGAAAAAGATCTTACATGTTATAGTTACAAGACCAATTCGCAAAACATACTCCAGCATTTGTTCTTGTTTTGATGACAGCCTCTCAGATAATTTCCCCTTTTTCTGAATATAAGGCCAAATAAATTGCATAGGCACGTAGAACTGCAGTGCATAAGAAAGGAAGATGGCAATTGAAAACATTATGCGCACCACATCATACAACCTGTAGAAGATATAAAAACCAACATACAGTAAGCAACCAAAACTAAGATCACATTATAAACTTATTAGCATGCATAAAATTTATATGGAACAAAACTTGTATAAATATGTGTGTGTATCGACCTAAGTGTAGACTAGTGAGAAGCTTATGGGGGAGGGGAGTCTAACTTTCTTTACTCATGTGATAAAATTACTAAATTAACAAAATATCAAAATGAAATTCTGTCAGTGCACTTATGATTCACATTACATTAACAACTATCTGAATACCATTAAAAAGTATGTTACCTCAAATAAAACAACACCTGAAGATAAAAAACAAGGCATTTATATCATGCCAATACTGTGAGAAAGGTTACACAGGAAATACTGACAAAAGTTTCTGAAGACTAAATAGAAAAATAAAGACATTAAATATAGAAATTCAAACAATGCAATTTTTCTTCCTACGAGAGATTCCACCCATCAAACTGATTGGAAATCCACAAGAATTTTACCTAAAATAAATAACTACATAAAAAAGAAAAATCATTGTAAGTTCCTTGATCAAAAGCCTGCATAATTTCAACATCTCCCAAAGTCATTTTCAGCTAAACAGCTTCCTGTCCTGAAGGGAATTTGAAATTCCAGGATCATATAGACATTGATGACCAATTTCCTGGCCAGAAGATAACATGAAACTGAAAAAGACACGCAAAAATTTCTCTAATAACAAGATTTCTGACAATTTGTTCCATTTACTGCAATTTTTCACTAACTATTCTACCATTTAAATCATATGACCATGCTATGCACATTATCATGCTAATCTGTGAAAGTTGTTGGAATTGCAAGGATACAATAGCTTACATCAGTACAGTAGCATACTACATACACACATTATAGGATTTATTTGGGAGGGCTATGTCTCCAAAATAAATATTTGCGAGTCAATTGTTCCTTACTAGCTATTTTGTGAGCCTTCTCACATCTAATGATATATGGTGTAGGTCTTCTGATCAATCTCAAAGTTATTAATGAGTGCAGATTTGAAGAGGGTGCTGGTTATGATAAGAGTGGTGTCGTGCTCCTATTTGTGTAAGGCCTAGAAAGTATTCCATCTTTCCAGTTCTGACCTAAGCAAAGATTCTAGATTTTGTCTACTGATAATGCCAAAATTGTGACTGTTCATCAAAAAAGCATAGACTGGATATTAAAACACTTGTCTTCCAAGCCTATCCACAAATACAATCTAACAATTTTCTACTAAGAAAATCTAAGGCCACCAAATGCTTGTGAGAAATTGATGGTAAGGATGATAGAACATCCTTGCAAAATATAAAGGATTAAGTGTGTATCATTTGATTGATTCTTTCTTCAACAACAGTCAAGATTCAACCACTTTCACCTGTATCATAAAAGCAGACATTACAAAAACTATCATCATAACTGATAAGTTCAAAAAACATGCATCTCAGATGCAAGGAGAAAAAAATAGCTTCAATTGTGCTACAAACATAAACTGTGGACAATAAATGACTGGAAGCATGTGATGTGGCCCGATGGGTCACCTTTCAGATTTTTCTGTTCTAAGAGTAAACTTAAAACATCGAAAACACTCAAATGGGGAACTTGACTGTTGTATTGTTCTGAGAATTCAAATGCTGAGAATAGTGTAATGGTACAAAGAATATTTTACTATTATGGATTAGGTCTTTTGATTTCTTTAGAAGGGAGAATAGCAGTAACAATTTATATAAATATTGTTGTTGATTGTGTCCATCCCACAATGCTACATTTCTATTTTGATGGATAAAGCCTCTTCTAAGTCAAAGATGCAACAATCATTTGATTCAAAAAGCATGCCAGCTATATCAGTCATCATCCTGGGCCATCACAGCCAATAGATCTCAATTCAAGTGAGCAGCTTTGGGATAACCTTAAATGTTACATTTACCACTGTAATCTTTTACTGAAATTTAAGGACCAAACCCAGACAATATTCCTTACCAAACTGGTTAAAATTGAACAAGAAACCTTCTGACATCTTGTGAAGTCTATAAGAGATGAAAAGTGATCTTACCAAATATTAGGTGGGGACCTCATACAATGGTCAGTCATAATGCACGTACATGATTGTCATAATCCTTAGAGAGAATAGATGTCAATTATTTCACTCTTGACTCAGTGATATTATCTTAAAAGTGCAGATTTGAAGCTTTTGTGGCCAGTAACAAAAATGCCCCCCCCCCAAAAAAAGAGGTCATATAATTGGAAAATTTCCTTGTTAAACTAGCAGTTCTTTATCTAAGAATTTGGTTAGAGGTTAAGCCCTTTATCATGTTGTTTATTATAAGAATATATTAATCCATACAATCTTAGTATACTTTGGTATATTATAAGAATATACTAATCCATACAATTTTAGTATACTTTAGTACATTTAGTTTTATTATACTAAATTGAGATTTTCTAATGGAGGATGTTATGCAAAAAAAAAAAGGGAAAAGCAGAATTATGCTATGTGTCTACAGTAAGTTGTACACATATTGTGACAATGGTATTCCATAATGTGCATACTTGTCTAAAAACCCTCAAGTTTTATTTTCTATCTTTCCAGTTGTGACCTAAGCCAAAATTCACGATTTTGTCAACAGATAATGGCAAAATTGTGACTATTCAGCAAAAAAGCAAAGAACAATATGTGATGTATCGAAAGTTTTTTTTTTCCCACAATGTCAGTTCTGACAAAACTGTTATGTATAGGCCCAACTGATAGCAAAAGTAGTCCAAGGACAAAAGATACTAGTCAACTCAGCAAGTAAAGGATCAGTATCTGATTCACTGGACTCAAACACCTACATACATTGGAAAACGTTTTCTTTCCACAGTTGGAAGCTGGTAGTTTAATTGGTACATATTTCTTCCAAAAAGATAGGATACCCACATCAATTTACACTTTGTGTTTGCCCTATTGGATTGTCTATTTGGGATCATTAACCTGGCTAGCATACTTTCCAGAAATGAAACTGTTGAATTGTTATCAGTATGGTTTTATACAAGATATGATTGTCAATGCATAGACAAATGCAAAAGATACTGGTAATAGAGCACTAAGGTTGACAGAGGTCATGTAGCAGTAGTATAAAACTGAAGGTATGTAGACCACTGTGTACTTCACAAGATGTTTCTATCTTTTTGGGTTTCAAGGTTTTTATGTGATAACCCTATAAGGTCCATAGAGTCTTTCTCAGGTGTCAAATGAACACCTGCAAGTCAAATTTTAAAATTTAAGTAACAATAATAACTAGCTCTATTTCATCAATATTCTAGAATTGATATTTTGTAATTTTATAGCATTTATTTAGTATCCCTTGGAAAGAAAAATTAAAATATGTTCATTTTCACACAGCTTTTGAAATGTTTTGCTTGTAAGCAATTCAGTTATCAATTTTTAGAATTTTCTATCCACCCCAAAGCATACATTTGTATTTGATAAAAAAAACTATGACCCCTTGAGAATATAATTATTCATGTCTTGCTTTTCACATTATTTTCCCTCTCTATTTGAGATTTTACTCTTACAGTTCTTTGTTCTCACCCTTTTATGATGTCAAGCAGGAAGAATAAAACCACTGAATAGAGAATATTATAAGTTAGTTAAGTCAATGTAGAGCAAATAAAGTGATGTGAATAGTATTTTATGGTTTTGCAGTAAAGTGACTAGATGGAGCTAGTGCAGTGAGGAACAATGGAATATAATGAGAAATTTAAAAGACTTAGAAACAAACCACAGATGTGGGAATTATTTTATAGTTCTAGTAAAGATTATTTTCATTCCTGAAATCGTTTTCATGCTAAATTATACCTGTTTATTAGCTACAAAGATTTTCTTCAATGACGAAATGTCAGGTAAGCTCAGTTAGGTTTAGTTAGTACAGTATAGATTATGGTAAAAAAACATTCTGATGGCTCACACCCTTATCTATTGAATATTATTCTTAGATTTATCATATTCAAACAATGCACATATATAAAAGAGCTTATTATTCACTGAGAGGAAGCTAAGTTTATTAGATATAAATTTATCTCAATCAAGAACACTGTTAGCAGAACATATTGTTATCGAGCCAGACAAAGGCAATAGTAGTGCTATTTACACTGTGATTTTGTATTATTTATAGTTCGAAGTAGTGACTACTAGAATCAGCAACATAAAGTATCAAAAGAAATATGTTAATGAACATCACTTGAAACTGAGTTAATATATAAAACAGAACTTTCTGACCAACAATGAAAAAATTAAAATTCTACAACAAAAGGATGCATTTCAAATGTTTTTTTTTTTTCAAAACAGTAACATTTGATCAAGCCGCCATTCAAATTGCATGGCCACAAACGGTAATTTCTCCATTTCAAATCACCCTTTGCCATTCAGATGCATAGGATGTTTGCTTCTTCAAAACATGCCAGAAATCAACATCATGTCGGGAAGTTCTCTTTAATTTGTTGCAGACAATGTTGAACATAATGATGCAACCACAAACGGGCATGATATTTTCATGGCTTGGGGAATATTGCCGTCACAACTCCAAGGAAATCTGAGCCAAATTCCATGCAAACCTATAAAGAATGAAGAACTCGTCTCCACTGGGCAGAAAGGTGTTTACTACCACAATTCCAAGAGGAATGGTCTTTCCTCTGTGATCATCAATGAGTTCCCTGAAGTTCATGCCTCTGATGAAGTTGCATCACTTGATACTTTGTGGAAGATTTCATGGCCCTTAAAATCTCCAAGACCTGGCTGATCAGGTATTATGCAAACAGTGCAAAATGATGTAAAGTTTAGTGTAAGTAGTGTTGTGATATCACTTACTTAGTTCTGTATCCTTAAAACTTCTGTATCAAAAATAGCACTTTGTTTATAGAGCATTTTTGTTTTATTAGTCAAGAGTTAACTGAAAGATTTGAGGTAAAGTGGTCTATGTCCATATCATAAATATCATGTATTATATGGGTGGTTGGAGGGGGAAGGCCCTCAGTTGGCTGTAATATTAAATGTATTTACTTTTAAGGACTCTCATCCAATCCAAACCAATCTGTGGCAGTAATCTAGGTTTGAGTTTTTTCAAGCTCAAAGAAATTTGGGGCCTGAAAGACAACCCAGGATGGTCAGAAGCTTTTGTTTCTCTTCACCCTGCATGGTGAAAAGGTTTAAGCCAATCAAATACAGAAAAAGTCACTGGGCTTAATTTTGTTTAAACGAGGTGTTGTAAGACATAAAATATGCTGGCCCAAAGTTGCTACGAAAGCTGTGATGAGACCGTCAAATGGTAGCCGTGGTAGAAGCACGTTGTTGTTTATCCACGTGGTGATGACATCAGTGTATGAGGAGTGGGGTAAAGAGATGTAGACTGAGTGAGTGAGATCCTGTTTGAATAGTTTCCAAAAAGACTATTTGATTAAAGAAATGAAAACTTGGTAAAGTTAAAGTGATATAATAGTTTTCAGGGAGCTGGGATAAAATTATCCGAAACCCTTGAATAATTTGATGAAGGGAGAAACCAGAGTACCCAGAGAAAACCTGCTTTCACAGATCAGGTGCCAAATAATCTACCTGACCCATGCCCGAGATATGAAGCTGAAAAGAAAAAGAAGTTTTTGACATATATTTTTAAGCACTGTACTACTTTATGTTGACTAGTGATTTTATGTAATTGAGGGGTGATATATACACTTGACATAAAATAGGTATGGCTGCTAGTGTCTGGAAGGTTCTAGTCTGACTATTGCGAATGCTTGCTTTGTTGTAATATTTTTCAGCAAGTTTGTGAATTTGGTCTTTTATTAGTGGTAAGTTGGTGAGATTGCAGATGTACTCATGAGGGGTGTATATTGATAGTCTGAATGATGTTTAAATAGCTATGTGTTGTTGTGACATATCTTGTTGTATATATTGTCAGATATGTTGCAAGTGACAGAAAATCCATATTCATATAGGGGTCTTATGAACACTTTATGTATTTTTAAGATAGAAAGGCTGTTACATCCTTTCTTCATGTCTCTGATATGACTTAAGTATGCTAATCTTTTAGTTGTGTTTTTGAGAATGTTATTAAAGTGTGTGTTCCAGCTCATGTGCAAGTTTAGTCATTCTTAAGAATATGGTCATTTTCTTAAGTGCGATGGGGGTGTTATATATTTTGAGTTTAATTTTTCTATGTTTTTTGTTGTTTTTTCCTGTACTTCTGTGAAAAACTTTGGTTTGTGTCTTTATGGGCTTAAAAACTACTCTCCATTTGTTGCACCAGTAAATAATAATGTTTAGCATTTCTTGAACTCTGGCTGATGCAACAAGTGGATTGCGTGATGCACTCCAGACCGCAATATCATCTGCATATTATGAAGCTAAACTGTAAGCTAGTTCTGGGAATGGTATGCCATTTACAAATAAATATACAGCAGTAGACTGTTGTGGTACTCCTGCTTTTAGCAAAAATGAATTGGATATGGCATTATTCACTTTAACTTTGGCAGTTATGTTTGAGAGATTGTTTGTTTGTAACTATGCACAAAGCTACACAAGGGCTATCTGTGCTCTGCCCAGGTTTCTAGCGTTGTAAGTCTGAAAACATACCGCTGTGCCACTGGGGGGGGGGGGTGTTTGAGAGAAAGCTAAATAACTATTTAATGATGGGAGCAGATACATTATATTTAAACAGTTTGTCTTTGTTTTCTACTGGCATTTTGAGTATTGTTAAGATTATTATTTTCTAGAAAGTGCAGAAATCATTTTTTCCATGAGTTTGCCTAATGTGTTAAGAAGGCTTATAGGTCTATAACTATTAGGTAAATTAAGGTTTGTGTCTTTTTTTTTAGGGAGTAAAATTTTAAGGAGTCATAATTATTGCAGATTTCCAAGTTGATGGGTAGTGACCAGATAATAGAGATAAACTGTACAGGTGATCTAATATCTAATGTCTTATGAAGTTACTGATGCTGTATTCCCTGGGGGTGGCGTGTTTGAGTATTTTTAGCATGATTTTAAGTTCTGTTAAAGAAATGGGGTGGATATTATAGTGGTGCTGGTTTTGACAGTTTAGTATATTGACTGGAAATGACAGTATGTATATCGAGTTATTTGTGATAACATGATTAATGGTGAAATTGTAATGTTGTCTGTCAAAGGAAGGTTGATTAGGTGTGTTGAATGAGTTTGTGTAATATTGTGCAAAGAGTTTGGCTTTTTCATCATCTGTGTGCGCCATTGTATTGTTGTAACTAACGTTGGCTGATAAATCATTTGTACTGTTGGTGCATACATTTTTAAACTTGCATCAGAAAAGCACGGGGTTAGATTTTGCTTTGCCAATTGATGTGCAAAATGTGTTCAAATTGTTCCGTTGTTGAATTTTGACGAGGACTCACATTACCTCTAACGTTCTTTAATAAACATGGTTTAAAATGACTTTAAATATAAAGATATATATTTTCTCAACCCTGATCAAGAATTAAAGAAGTCCTCTCATGCAATGGATAGGTTTCAATCCATCCTACAAATGTGAAACTGATTTTGAATTTTCTTTTATTATTGCAGTGTTTGTTGTTATTGTTGTTGCTGCTGCTGTCACCATTTCTATGACTGTTGCTAATGCTGTTGCTTTTGTTAATTTTGTCATTGGTTATCATTATTTTAAAATAATATACAGTATCATAACTCATTTCAATGTATGTGATGTAAATGGTTAAATATCACGGGAAATACTTTTTAAAATTAACATAAAAACATGTTTACAAATGAAAATTTGTGGCTGCATTGTTTATTTTTTAATCAAATTTATTCATTTGACCATATCTGTAAATTTATATGCAAGATAAACAATGACTTACATGTTGTTATCTTCTATATTAATTTCATATTTTATGTGTAAATTTTGTCATATTTGGGAATGTGTTTCTTGGAAACCAGAGTAATAATAAATGTTTTGAGCATCTAACTGCTGATTGTCTAACTGCTATTTCCATCCTTAAGTTTAATTTTTAAGAAATATTCCTATCACTTTCCAACTTATTTCTAGGAAATGTTTTCAAATTTAATTCAATATATTTTTGAGTAGCATTTTAAAGTCTGTTACAGTTTTTCTCATAGAAATGATTAAAATTGAAGAAATCAACTGATTTACAAAATCCCACTGCCATGGCAAATTCATGAAAAATACACATAATCCTGGTCAAAATAACTGATTGTCATGAAGACAATAAATGTTCTCAGGATGGAATATACTTTACCCGCTAAAAAGGTGTGTTAACTGCATCTGAAATGTCTTGTGAGTTTGGATGGTATACAATTGTCACATTATCATAAAAAATTTTTCCCAGCACTGTCTTTTGTAGACTGATATATCCTGAAAAAAAATCTATATATGGGCACAGGGAGTGGTCTGGTACAATATGGGACCACCCTGTAAATCTGCCATTGGTATGATAGCACTTTATAGCACTTTTTACTTGTGTGTGTGAGTTTGAATCATTCAGTTAAGTAGCTGAGCATGCAAGATGGGCCATGTTCAAAGTATAGCCATATAATAATTTTGTTACAATATAAATAAGTTTATAAAAATATAAAATTAGCTTACATTTAAAAATTGTAGAATGTTCAAATATAGGTTACTTTCATCATTCCAAACATACCTATTTCAAGTTCAGTAAAATTTTAATACTTACGGTTTTACAGGAAGAGACAGTGTTATACTTCCTTCAACAGAACTGCCAAATTTCAAGAAACCAAAGAATCCCATAGCAGTATAGACAGATGCAACAATAACCATCCCAGTGTTTAAGACTCCTGTCCAACCTCCAAATGCTTTGGGTGTTTTCATTTCGTTTTCTATCGGAAGGACCTACAATATAAATCACCCATGAAGATTTTACATACTGCATACCCCCAAAAAATATAACTTAGTTGATTTTAGTTAGTCAAACAAAGCTGTTTTAGAGACACTTCAGAAAGCAACCATGTAATGAAAAATAAAATCTGATACACATTTATTACAAATTTCCAAACTAGATTATTTATCAAGTTTCCCCTGCCTTAATGTTGCTGCTTCATCATTCGTTTCCTTTGGTTTGTAGCTTTTTAAACCCAGGTAAAACAATGCTGATTTTGTCCTGTTGCACACATTTAATATAGCAACAGTAAAGAAAATGTAACGCCAAACCAAAGAAAGCCACCAATCACTGAAACTGTAAATTTATTTTCTCTGATCTTCTTCAAAATTGTGCAAACTTATAATAATCTTGTCTGCTACCTGGCTTATCCAGTGGCCCTGAATATAGAATGTCAGAGTTGTAGAATTAATGAGCAGAATGCCTAACAATCACTGATAAGAAACTACTAATGTCAACAACAGTCATAGGAAAAATAATCAACCATATATATATATATATATATACAAGACTGTATGATATCCAAAATAATGAATGTGTGGTATCCCAAAATCCTTTGATTACCTATGTCCACAACAATTCCCTTATATTTGTTCAATAAAGTACCAACTCATACCAGCTTGTATACCACTCCTCAAAGTGGGTGTGACCTTCACACATTTGACTTATAAGAATGTTGTAACTAAATGTAACACTCTCAGTCCTTAAAATGAAGCATTACATGATAACTAACAGGCCATTGCTTAGATTAATCACTTCATTTAACTAGAAGGGTTAAAAATCTGGTCTTACACAGCTATTGTCAGGATTGGGAACACTTGGTTAACTCAGTTTCTGATTGATCACAGGTTTAGCTTATAATGTAGGTTTAAATATTGTAAATGAAAACAGTTATAACCAAAATATACTCTGTGAGAAGTTTCTGGATGCTGAGCATTCATTAATATAAGAGGGAATCCTCAATAGCCACAGCACTTGAAATTATGTTAGGCAGAATAAGAGTAAATGAATCTATGAGACCTTTTTTTTCTTTTTTATTATTAGCTAAACGTTTTGTGTGCCAACAATACCAAGTATGGGGTGCTCATATACCCGATTCGATTTTATTACTCACCAGGATCTCTACCAGCCTACCCTTAAATTGAAATTCTTTTAGGCAGGATTAGAGTAAATTAATCAATGAAACCTTGGGCATGGTCAAATACATCAATTGAAAGGGTTTGGCCTCCTCAGTCTAAAACTGTAATTAGATCTTAAATTGGTCAAGAGATGATGGAGCTATGAGCTAAAAGTTTGTACTTGAAAAAACAACAACAACTCAGAGCCATTCTAGGAGCCAAAATGCCACAGCTTAAAATATCTGAGGTAATATGCCACTTCTACAACAGTCTTCCACTGTTGTCAACCTAAAATTTAAGCCCAGATCCAATGGGAAAAAAGAGTATAAAACTGCTAGTGCAGCTGAAATCAAACTAGCTATTTTACAATAATTGACCATCATCTCTTGAACCTGAGATTCCACTACCATAGGAAGCAATTTTTGAGTGGCCACTGCCACTTCTAGGGTGGTGTAACCCCAAGAAAATGTTTGAAAATTTAATGTTACGAGATTGAATCTTGAGTCATTTTAACTACAAATATTGCAAACACACAACATAATGTATTGAATTAAAAGAAGTAAGTTTTAATACATAAGTTGTAGCTATACATGTCATAAAAAAGTGGTCAAGCCATGACCTGACTGATATTACCACTTCCTACAGCCCTAGATTCCATGAACTATCATGCATGGATGGGTGCATTCTGCCTTGAGAGAAAAACTGCACCAGTGAATTAAAAAATTATAGAAAATAATTTGCACATTTAAAAAATATAAACCAAAAATAAAGAACACTATACTTGAAAAATCTACACAATATTAAAAAGTTGTATTTATTTCATTTTATAAATAAAAAGGTTTTAAGTCACAAATTTTTATTTTTGGTTGATTTCAGCATGCTCTGAAGAAAATCATTAGTGTTTATAAATTTCCAGAATTTTTTTCAGCATAATACTGCACTTATAGCCCCCTATTAAAAATATCATGATAGTTTTCAACAAAATAATTTTAATATCACCTGGCAACTTGAATATATGTGTAGTTTTCCAGTTTTTAGCCAATCAGTATTTTTCAACCTCGCCTGTCATGATGTTATATAAGTGCCTATATTTCAGCTTAAAGAAGTCAGAGACTAGTGAACTCCTGTAATGAAAGCTCTTTTTCCCTTCTTTTTAACTGTATAAGAAAATATGGCTTCCGCTTCGGCAGAGATTCACATAGAGATCAGAACAAAGTGATAAAAGTTTACCTTGGTGATATGTTGCTAGACAAAAATATGTTTGTGAACTACTTCTGCCATAAACATAGTCATGATTTTGTTAAAGCTAACTTTATCATTTTATACTTCATTTGAATTACAAAGGTGCAATATGATAGGCTAAGAAATGTTTTTATGGAACAAGATGAGGTTAGCTTTTTCAAATAATTTTGCATTCGTTCATGTAAAGTTTCATTTCGCCAACCAGACCAGTATGTTAGGCCTTAGAGGCCTAAGTGACTGCTTGAATGGGTAAAGAAGTACACCAAATATATATAAATCAATATCAAATGGGTTTAGAAATTATATATCATACATATCAAGTGAAACATATTTAACAATAAAAAAAAAGCTTTCTTATAAATTTGGTATTGTACTTATTTTTTAGTATGCCAGTGACTGTAAACATAAACACAATGAAACTGCATGTGGGGTGTTATAATTTAAATTAATGATAAAATTTACAGGAAAATTTTAAAACAATGTACAAATGTACAAAAATCAGTAATTAAAATCTACAACCAAGGTATGCATTTTTTAATGTTTCTTAAAAAAAACATGTCACAATGAAATCTTATTGAAATTTCAAATTCATACAAATATCATACATAAAAATAAGATATTTTATATGCAGAAGCTCAAAATTTCAAGCTATGTCATCCAGTAGTTTTTTATGAAAACCAATAACACAAAACATAACAGGTGCATCTAATTGAAGCTCCCAGGCCTGGTACAATGAAGAAAAGAAGTATTATACTTCTACATGACTTTAGTTCCTGATGAAAACAAAGTACAAGTTGAAGATTTTATAATTAATTATGCTCTGTATCACTTGAGGCAAGTAATACCATCAAAGCCAACATTAATGTATATTCTAGCTTCAACTTCTAGCAGAAAACAAATATTAAGAAAAATATTCAGTAACACTTCACATTTATGAAGTAATTTAAGTCTAAAACTTTAACATAATATAAAAAAAAACTTAACATACATCATGTTTTTCCTTGATATGACACATACGTTATTATCAGTGGTTTCACCTTCTGTAGATAATTTCATTTGCTTATGAATGTATCAATTCTGCCTAAAATATCATATTCTTTGCTAACATCACTGATATATTAAACTTAAATATCCTTACTTGATGATTTGTCATAAAAGAATATTCAAACATACACTATAAAAAAAAGAATTATCAGGAGCACAGAGAGCATGACAAAAATCGACAAAACTAATCTTGCTTCTAAATGTTAAGGGTGTATTTAAAACTTTGTCCTCAGGTTACTTTGTTATCATTGACTGTATTAGCTTTAGATTTTTCTAACAAGTGACTAACTTTTACAAAGTACTATTGTATTCTTGACTGCAGAGAACTAAAGACTGGAATCTCTGGACGAGGTGGCAGTAGAAGAATCGAAATTGTAATAGCATCCTGACTTAACAACCCCTCAAGATCGAAGAATGATCCTGACAAAGGAAACTGGGGAAACCAGGAAATAGGTGTGTAAGATCTCTGGTCATTTAAAGACCAATAAAAGGCACAAAGGATTCAAGAGATTCCCAGAAGAGAAAGAACCATTTGTGGAGTAGGAAAAGGAGAGGTGAGTAAGAGTGTGGCATCCTATTCTATAGCATTGAGCAGGATGGGAGACATCTGAGCTCGAACTGAGAGAAGAGATGAAAAATACCCAGACTGATGACATATTGAATTTGGGCAATAATAGATGTTGCAGTCCCAAAAGAAAAACCTGCATGGGTTGTATCTGAAAGCAGAATCAGGATGTGATGGTCTAACAATTGATGAGATGTAGCCAGCAGTAACCAGTCATCCATGAAATGGTGTGTGTGCAATATGATGGAATGAAGGGGACAAGAAAACTAATACAATACAGTAGAACCTATGTTAAGCCTACGCAAAGCCAAATGAAAAAAACCTGGAACTGCAGTGCCTGATCTTTATGCACCACAAATGTCAATAGTGGTGGTACTCCACCATTACGGCAAAGTGCAGATAGGAGCCAACTACAACCAAATTGGACATCTACCATCTTGTGAACCTTGGAGAATCTAGACATTGATATAGACAAGGAAAATTGATGACTAGACACTAAATTTCTGTCTTAATAGGGCCAACAACTAACAGTAATAAAACTCTGAAGAACTAGCCAGACACACTTGCTACCCCCAGATCAACCAGACTCAGATAACCCTAGAACTAAGTTCCAAATCCCAATGAACTGCTGGAGACGAAAACCCTACAAGTTCAGTGGATAATAGTGGGGAAGATGTGAACTGAATGACCAGATTGTGACCCAAGGACCTGCAGAGCTTCTGGACCAATGGAAAGATTACCATACGTCCAGAAAATCTTGGAACCGAGCCCCTACAGCACCTGAAGGTATACAATAATCGCTGATGCTGCTGGCAATTCGACTAAGTAGTGGAGCCTTGGATATAGACAGAATCTATTCTGAGTACTGAAGAGCTGAAGTTGGGATCAGTACTCAAGTACAGGGCAGAACTATGATCCCCCCTCTAGGAGCCAATGAAATCAGAGACTCCAACAACAACTGGGAGGAATGTAAAAGCCAAAAATTGAACCAACGTGCATGCTGACAATAGATCCAGCTCCTCTTCAATGAAACTGGTGATCCTAAGAGTCTACTAACAAAAAGATTTGAAATGAAAGAAAATATTGAAGGTGAATTTAAGTCTGTAAACTTATTCTGGTCCATCAGGGGACATAGACCTATATAGGTGAACTATAAATTCTGCCTTAAAACCCCAAAATTCGAGGAGCAGAAATTATTTGATAATTAGAAAAATGCCTCCACCTAGTGGTGGTAAGCAAAATCATGACGTTCCAACAACGTGTCGGATAAGGCCTAACTGTTACCTCACGTAACTAAGAAGTAAACATTCCAGCATGAACCACAATATCTGTGTATGGAGAGAAAAAAAAGAAATGCTCCCAGACCTTTCAGCCCTCTTGTGAGGTAAAGTAAGTTGTTTTTGTACAAGCAAAGCAACTGCAGCCATCTGCCACATCCACCCTAAATAGTCGAACCCATATCCCAGAATTAAAAAACTCTACATAATGTCAAGGATCGCCCTCAAATCCAGCCTCAGAGCCCCCCAGAGGACCACCACAGATCTGAATATATGTCTCCATCTCACTACAAATAAGAGGTAGGAATACTGGGAAACCCGTTAGTGACATTTTGTCAAGAAAATTGACAAAATTATTTGATTGAGGTGCTTATACACAGTACTAGGATAGACGGCACTATGACATAGGTGGAGATTTACAAGATTTTACAAGACATATATCCCAAGGGCAAATGAGTGTGGTATAAAAGACTGGAGCAAGCAAGAAAAAAATCAGACCAATGTTTACATGGGCAAAAATAAAACCCTGGCAGTCAAGTAATAGTTATTAGTGGGAGAAGAGTTGTGTATATTTTGGAAGTATTATTCAGTTGTAGTGTTATGCATCATTTTGAAGACATTGGCTGTTACCTACATTGGACCAGGATAATGAGAAATTAAGAAATTCATTAGCTGTTCAATAACTTCAATAAGTTTGCTGTTCTGATTGTAAAATAAAAATATTTATATATGCACAGGTCAGATACACACAGAGTTCTATTTATGTAATATTCAAAGACTATTACTTGCATATTATAATTTACCTGTAGCTTTCAGCTTTTTTATATAAAAGCTTCTTTTTTTACTGTTACATAGAAATTATTACAAGGTATACTAGGGCAAAGTTAGGATCATTTTCTAATCAAATTTAGTGCTAGAAATGAATATATAAAATGAAACATGAAATTATGTTCAAACAATCAGATATACTTTTTAATCCAAAAACTATTCTATATATGTTGTGTTAATCACTTGCTAGTTAAATAAGAAATGTAGTTTTAATAAGCACCTTAGAGTCACACACTGTATATTAAACAAGCAAAAGTACACGCTCCCAGTAACAGGAAAAGTTTAAGTTAATCTAGCAACAGTACCCATCCACAGTGATGGGAAAAGTTTAAGTTAATCTATCAATTTAAATTATTTCATGGACTTTAAAAAGGTTGGTTGTTAGTAGTTATACTGCCCACTGCAGAAAGTAATTGTTGAGTATTTCAGTCATGCTAAGAGCCACTCAACGATAGCATTTGGTAAATCTACATTTCTATTGGTTAAATGACATCACATTTTGAAATGTGAATGATAGTGTGATTAATTCCTAACAATTTAGTGTAGAATATCCTGCTTACAAAATACAATATGGCAACAACATTATTCATGCCTGTTTTCCCATCATTTCAAAATGGATGTTGAGCTTTGCCTAGGTGCGCAGCTTTTCAAACACAATGCGGGAAGTGGCCACTGTAAACAGGAGACAGATGAACAGTTGGTCAGACAGACACCACAGTTCGCAATATATACGAGGTCTTAAAGCCATAGGAACAAGCTTACTGGATTGATTAACACATTACAAATATATTTAATGATCCCTATTCTTCACTACTTGACACTTACTTATGTACTTATAACTACAAGGGATTTTTTCAAAACATATCCCATAATGCCTCAAATGAACAATAGCATACTCAGCCTTCAGTCAGTGGATTTATAAAGAAAGTATTTTCTTTTAAATACTTTGGCCTTATCAATTATGAAGTATTTATATAATTATTTTTCAATAATTCAAACTTTTTTCTCCAAAAAATAAATAAATTAGCTCTGCTTTTATAGTACCAATACTAAATTTGAAACTTGAGGATCCATAAAAGTTCAAATTCTCACATCAAGACTCCTTTTGCTGCTTTGTCGTTATCTATACATATGAACAGAAAAGTATCTTGTTTTACAATTAACATTCAAGTTGAATAATTACTTAAATAGTGACCATTCAACTGCACACTTTGCATGTTGCACAACACTGTCTGAGTTTATCAGGTCAGCTGGATTTACAACTCACAAAGCCTCAGTCAAAATGCAAAACATTAGTTAAAATAGAAAAGTTATTTTATAAATGTCATTTTTTTCTAAACTTTTATCAACTGTCCCAATCAGTCAGTACATATGCTGGTATATACTGAGTTTGACATCTATTTACTTGGATTGTAAATCTAAATGTTATTTGAAAACTTAATGAAGATAAGAAACAATTCTATAGATGTCTAAAAAATCAGAAATCAATTTTAATTATTGTTTATTAAAAAAAAACACTTACAATGCCTATTCCTTCAAATGCATACATAGCAGTTCCAAAGTATAGTGGAAGTGTTGATAGTGGCATTGACAATGGCCTTGATGAAGTAGAAGGTAAGTTTTGAAACAGGTTGTAAAAAATAATGCAGATACCCAAACTTTGTAAAATGTTGGCAATTGTGGAAACCACTGCTAGAGTTCGCAAACTTTTGATGAAATTGAATATAACCATAAATGGCAATATGATGACAAGGTACCCATAAATACCAATGGGATCTCTGTCAGCCCAGTCACAGACTACCTACATAAAACAGAAAACATTTGAACATTCAATATTGTACAATGACTATTCAAGCTGCCTTTCTATATGTTAGGGGACCAAATGCAATTTTGCACATCTATTATAGTTTTTAAAACATTTAAATGATTTGTTTGAGTCACCAGATACATGTTTGTTCAAGTTCGTGAAAAGTTAGAAAATATGTTCAAAAACACAAAATCTCGTTATGATTTGTTTCAGGTATATGGTAAAAGTTATAACAATGTTTTAAATATTATACTTTTTAGCTACCAAAATATCAGATTTGTTAAACTGTTAAAAGTCACTAGTAAACAATAATTAAGTTTTTTTTTTAAGATTTCTATTTTCAATTATTAGATAAACACAAACAAGTATTCAGTGTATAATGGATAGGTTAGCAAAGTAAGATCTGTAGATCAGTAATTTGTGTGATGTTACATCACAGTATGACCTATACATATTTCCAGTAAGAAGATCACAACAGTGTTTCAACTGCACACTTTGCATGTTTCACTACACTGTCCGAGTTTATCAGGTCAGCTGGATTTACAACTCGCAAAGCCTCAGTCAAAATGCAATTTATCTTGGTTTTTAGGAGTCATCAAAGTTTTTGGTGTATAATGGCTAAGCATGACCTGTAGTTCAAAAGAACAGGTGATAATACAACACAGTAAAACTAATAATAATTTTTATCACCTCTTTCTTTACTAATCTTATATAGTTTTTCAGTAGGAACAGTATTTACAGCATTTCAACTACACTTTGCATGCTATAAAAAGACTAATATAAAGTAGTGTTTTAGTTGAGGTATTGTTTAGTGTAAAGCTCAGCCAACCTGGTGAGCTGGTATTAAATGAAAAGGCTCATCAGTAGCATTTATGTAAAGTATGCAGATGAAATTATGTCATAATGTTTTGTTAGCAACAAATACAGGACCAGTACAAAGGTGATTATAAAATTCATTATCAGACTTATTGCAGTGTTACATCATACAAACTACAGATTTAAAAAACAGGTTCTATTTATCTATGTTAGCCTATTCAGTTAGTATATAATGTTATTATGTATAGAATACAAATTTATTAATGATTTTGGGGTTTCAAAAATATCTTCTTTATTTAATAGGTCTACAAACTGCATACAAACTAAACTTGAATGTAGTGTAAAACTTTATTAATTTCAGACTTATTACATGTAGGACACAGTATCACTAGCCTTAATATGATGCCTATCAGAAAAATATAAACAAAAAAATCTATAGTTTCTTTGTTTATTTTACTGACCTTCTGGATATTGGTTGCCACAAACAGGTAGTAAACACAACAAAATCCAAATTGAGTCAACAACAGAAACACATTTACAGTTTTTCTGAAAGATGGGAAAAAAAGTGTAACATAATCTTGACATAATCTGTCCATCAAAAATAAAATGAAAATACAGCAATTATATTCTTACCCTCTTAGTCAGTGGCAGCACTACACAGGGGCAAGGGTGGCAATTGCCAATACAATTTCTTGCCCTCCCCCTCCAATTTAATCCTACATACATGGAGAAAATGTAATGTGTATAACAAGAAAACAAGTTTGCATGCACACTACCATTTTTTTTATGTGGTGTTTTTTTTCTTGTATGCTAGAAGTCAACTAGATATATCCTACAATAATAGGTATTCCAAGTAACCCTACTTTTTTATACTAATGGTACTACTGCACTAAATAATTAGTTACTTAATTAAATAATGCTCAAAAGCACATTATTCATTAATCCACTTTTAAAGGGACTCGTGATTCCCACCCCCCAAATACATTGCTAGATATGCTAGAATGGTCAAAAACCTTCTGGTCCTTTCGTCAGTCTGTGAGCACTTTGGGGCTTCAAAACTCAATACAAAATACTTTTTGAAACCCAACATTAGCTTAATGTAACTTAGCATGCTAAAATTTGGGGGAATAATGAGTACCCCATGTAATGTTTGTTTGTTTGTAATTAAGCACAAAGCTACACGACGGGTTATCTGTGCTCTGCCCACCACGGGTATCAAAACCCGGATTCTAGCGCTGTAAGTCCGCAGAGATACCGCTGTGCCACTGGGGGACCCCACGTAATGAAAGAGGAAACCGGAGAAATCCCATCAGTACCCCTAGTGGCCACCCTCACTGATTTATCTATATTTAATAAGCACTGGAGCTATGAAATCTATGCATTTTAAAAGAAAAATAACTTCTTCTTGACATCTTCTGAATCATTCCTAATTTATTAAACCATATTTGACAGGTCCAAATGCAAAAGCCAAGGAGGAGTTAGAGGAAAAATCAACAAACTTCTCTCAAAGTATAGTAGGATGTTTTGTAATACAGATGAAATTATAGCAAACTAAAACTGTTGTTATCAATCACGTAGTTCATATATATAGTTGTTTTTTAATTTTTCAATATTTTAATATGCAGCCATAATTTACTTGAGATCATATATATTACAACTACTGTATTTCTCTTTAAATTATGTATATAAATTCACACAGAAACTGTGAAAATTTCTTTACTCCTTATACAATTTTCTGTTTGGTATGCTTAAAATGAACAATCTCAAGGCATAACTTTGTTATTGAACTTGTTATTATTGGTTGTAGCTACGAAAACACCTTATGTAATGATCAATAAAAAAAATGTACTAGCCCTGATATAGTACTCCTGAACACAGCATCAACTGAAAAACACAGACAAAAAATACACATATAGTCAATACAGAAGGCTATATTAGGGTTTTAAAAAAAATGTGCCATGAATGCATGGGTAATTAAGAGTTGTACATGTGGCTTCTGATTATTGGTGACAGAAAAAAGACATAACAGTTATGTATATGGACAGGATGTCCATCACCAATTCAGATGGCCTGTTCACAGTTCTAGCCAGTCTATGGCTGGTCTCCACAATATTCATCTGACTGTCTAAACATACTGTCATCATATACACAAGAAAAAGTGGCAGAGAAAGGAAATAACTACAGTTGACAGTGGTTGTACAGTGACACACAAGAACTCCTGCCATTATGTCCAGCTGGGACATAGATCCCAATAAAAAAAAAAATAATTATGCGTGTGTAGAGTGCCAATTTTCCTTTAAAGCAGCATCTGTCAATGTCAATAATGTTCAACCAATCTAATCACCTTCTGAGTTGTTAGATATACGTAAAAAATTACTTCTGTATTACAAAAAAGTGCATGACAAAATGTCACTGGTCATGTATCAGTTATGAGATATTTTCTAATATAAAAAAGAAAATGTTAAAAAACAAGCAATTATATACTCCAAAATAACTCTAATATAACAAGCTTTTCTGAACAAACATATTAAAATATATTAAACTATGTAGATTCTTCATTATTTTAAGTACAAATTCTGCATATAAACGGCGTGCAAAATTAAATACAAAAACTGTAAAAACTAACAAAAAAAAAAGGTATGATGATGATGTACATGTTTGTCTTACTAATTTTATTCAAACACCTTTTGAGCTATATATATTAATTCTGTAATTACAGAAATACACTCCATGTTTAACTGTGTTTTCATATCAGATCAATCTAAGATTAATTCACACCACACATGTATGCAACAACTTATAAATATTACCTAGCAATACGAGCAAACTTTGGAAGAGGTTCTGGTCCATATTTAAAGGCATACAATGCTACTCTGGAATAGTTTAAGGACTGGCATCCAATTCTATATTTCAGAGAAATATATTTAAAATTAATCATAGTTAGGTTTTATTTCATTAGGTTTGAACACTTGCAGTTTTTTTTTTAGTAAATAAATAAAATTATGAAGGTTATACAAAAAAAGTTTTCTTCACTTCATGCTATTTTCAAATGTTTGAAAACCTTGTTGCAGACAAACCAAACATTACAAAAGAAATTAAAGTTTTGTAAAAAGAAGTTATATTTAACAGCAATAACTAGGTTAAAATATGTGAAGAATTTACACAAGACATATACAAGAAACCTTAAAACATTCCAAAATTTCAATAAATTATTTTTTTCAATGAATTTTGTACTTTACTGAAAAAATACAAATGTGCATGGCATTACATTTCTTGAAAATCAATCATACTTTATTATAAGAATGATGTTCTACATCCTCTGCTGTCCTTAGAACTATTTGTACCATTATCAATCATGTTAAATTTAATAGCCATGACTATGTGCTGCTGCCCTATAGCACAACTACCACTGTAACAAACTTCTGCAAAGGATAGTTAGACCAATCTTAGGCTAAACATCTTGACAAACCTTCTACTACATAGATGTCAGCTTTCAAGACCGCATTTAAGCATACAAAAGGCACAGTTTATTGGATACTCAGAAGTTAATGGTTTGATTTGAATTTTATTAAGCACAAAGCTACACAATGGACTATTTTTGCTTTGCCTACCAAAGATATCAAAACCCAAATTTTAGCAACATAAGTTTGTAGACTAACTGCTGAGCCAATAGGGTGGAGATAAACAAATTTTTTCAGCAAATTATTGTTGCTGTCCTAAATGATCTACTCTACAGGTTTTTTCAATTCCACATAAAAAATTAAAGGCTCTCCTCTTAAAAAGTTGTCTTTGATTCTACATCATTTAGTTAACTATTTTGCTATTTGAATATCCTTCATTGGAAAAAGCTATAACAAAATCCTCCATCTCTAGCTTTACTCATGGTGCCATTACACTACAAAATGGATCAAACATGTAGGTTCTATACTCATATATGTGGCAATGTGCTACTGCACTAGCACAAAGAAATTTTTATAATGTGTAATTAACTCTCCTTCTTACTGTACAGATACATAAATACAATATTAAAGGTTTCTTTTTATTGTTGTAATTAATATCTTTTTAAATTTCAATAGGGAAGCAGGTCAGCAAAATCATTTTCAACCTTGTTAAGAGCTCTTCTCAATGTTTCCAATGTTATTTATAAAAACAGCCATGTCTGCATCAATGACATGTTATTAACTATTAGAATAATGAAAAGTACCAAGGTTTTAAAGTTTATAATATGTAGTATTGTATTTTAAATATGTATGATCACTGAACACAGCAGTGTAATCTAGTTAATGTTTAAAACAAAATAAGAACAACAACAACAAAAAAAAAAAAAAGGCAGGAAAAAGTGCTAGGTATCTTGTGTCTATCATTGTTAAGTTTTCATACAATAGCTAGCAAAGCACAAAGTTTCAATGGGTACACTTTGTTATAAAAACAATAACTATGTTAAATACATGAATTATAAACTTGAATAAATTCTTAACACATTCTTTAAATTAGTAGTTTAAAAAAAAATGTATAATTCATAGATTTTATTCTAAATTTCCAAATCTATAGGATACTTTAATATTTACAGTTATCTTACATTGACATTGAAGTGTTTTAATTAGATGACTGAAACTGACTGTCATACACAGATAAATACTGGATGGAGGAAACATTGAACTAGTATTTCTAATAAACAATGCAATGATAACCCTTTCACTTCAAATAAATATAGAAGTGTCAGGTAAGCCAATATATGTTTTTAATATTCTGAAAGATTAGTTTGAAGCAATCATAAAATTTCAAAAATCATTTTGAATGAGTGCATGCATACATACATATTATCCTGATCACAATAAATTTTGAAGTTTCCTCAGAATATAAAGCATGCTAAGTAAAAGAATTGAAATCAATCAAGTTTATCTCATACACAAAAATATAACTATGGGAGATACGTTTCAAGTTTATATTAGAATACTTACTTTTTAGAGAGTCTTCGACTACATGCTACTAAAATGTGCATACAGTGGATACAGATTAAGCCCATTATAGGTATTCCTAAGGACCCCACCTAAATTCACATAATGTTTTAAAATTATAAGCTCCATGCAAAAAACAAAGCAATCAAAATCAAATAAAACCAAAAGCTATAATAATACAGTGTTTTCAAAACAGTTGTTCAAAAATCTCATGCTTTAAAAAGAGGGATGAGTCAGTTATTGCATTTGCTCTTTGTCCTATAACACAACTTTTCGCAGGAAATTGTTGGTTAATAATATCTTTATTGCAAAATAAAACTGTTACTTTCATAATTCTTTTCTCTTTTATTATAAAAAGCATTCTATTAACATAAAAAATAGAGTTAGTAATAAGAAAAATGTTACAGTTCTCTACTGAGTGAGGAAAAAAGTTGAAAATTATTAAATGCAAGTGGTGGAGTTTCTGGAGTATGCAAGCTAGTTGGTTAATTATTCATTTGATACAAACATATGGTGTGCAAATATCTAAGTGCTCAGTGCTTCTGATGGCATACATAAAGTAGCAAAACATTTTTAATATCATAATTGATTAATTGGTTGCTTTTTAAAGCCAAGCCACCTTGGGCCACTGCAGGAAATCAAACCCCATATTTTATTGCAGTAAGTCTGTAAACTTACTGCTGTTCTTCCAGGGAACTTAATACCATGGAAATCTGATTATTTAAGATGCTGTTTCTACTTTTAAAACTTAAACAACTTTAAGGGTAACTGCCTTCCCACATCTGGCTGCAAACTGCGAACAGCAGTAGGAGGTGAAACGTTGTGGGTTTAAGCACTCACCTCCACACCCTTGTTTTGATTTTCCATGATGGTCAACTTTCTTTAACTTCATCATTTTTAGAATTTTTGCTTTCATTAGATGGGTATATCCCAATGTCTTTTTGGGTGTCTATTAACCACTAAGTCTTTTATCCTATTT